CCAGCTACCTGCTGCTGAGAAAGAGGCATCTACCCCAAAGCCCGGGATGGGAGCCAGGTCCACTTCTCTCCTTTTCTTTCAGATAGATTCTGCCTTCAAGCTTCTCCTTGCATCTGCTTCCTTCACGCTTTGGCTGACTCTTCCTGCTCCACGCAGGATCTGGCCACCCCCTAGAAGCAAGGGCACAGTGCCTCAGGTTGGCTGGCCGGGAGAGACTGGCATCTCAGGGTCCTGAGTTCCCAGGAGAATCAGGTAGCCACTCTGCTCCAATCGTTCTGGCCTGGGAGTCATGGTCGCGGTCACCAGGGGCCCTCCTGTGGTTGCCGAAGCAGTTCTCGGGCCTGGGCCAGCCAGACTCCCTTGACGGGCGTCTGGTCCCTAATGAAGAGTTGGGGCCCGGCTGGGCCTCAGGGACTGAAGGTGGACGGCTAGAGGTTTCTCTGGGCCCTGAAAAGGATGCTCTCTGCTCTGCTTGATCCTGTCATTTCTTAGTATGTGAAATATCACTCACCTGAGAGTCACTGCCCATAAGTTAGGCTGTTTGGGTCCATGGTGAGACATGTAGGAATCGGATCTCAAACAAGTGCTCTGGGCTGCCTATAGCAAGTGGAAGGGGTAACACACTGTGGCTGATGTGCTTTGTCTCTAGGTGGGCCAGAGGGGTGTGGAGTGGGCAGAGCAGGCCTCTTGGAAGAGGAGCCCTGCACTTAGTCACCTGGACTCAGCCTGTGCTCCCTGGACACCTCGGGCTCATAGCTGGAAACCCCTTTCCTGCAATGGAGGCTGGTGGTTTCCCAGCATGATGCTGTGCTTTCTTGAAGTTAATTTTTTGTTCATTATTTTAGGAAAAAAGAATAGGTATAAATGAATGGAATTGTAGGATTAGATTAACACTCAGAGTAACTAATAACTTGGATTGAGTGCTTGGTCTGCCACTGGCCTGGGTAGAGTGTTTTACATGCGTTTTCTCGCTGGGGCCTCCTGGGCTCTGGTATGAGGCCTGGGCCCAGGCGCTGGTCGTGACGGACCAGGGTTTGAACTCCCTGGCCCCACCACTCAACCAGCACTCAGTTCCATCGCCTCTCAGAGCCTCCGTTCCAGGAGTAGAAGAGTCTCCCCAGCACGGGGTTGTTGTGAAGATGAATTGAGTTAGAAACGTGGCACCTAGCCCAGCTTTGTGCTGCTGCTGTTCCCTGGGTGTGCCGCTGGTGTGTGTGCACAGGGGCACCTCGGTGCACGATGCTGGAGAAATGGGCAGAGTGGCATGTCCTTCAGACTGGCTGTAGGAAGTGAGCCCAGGACCAGTCGTGGAAGAGAGTGTGAGGATAAAATGTGGCACCTGTGTTGGAGGGCTATGTGACTTGAGAATTTACGGTGTCAGGCAACTGGGGAGAGGCAAGGCCTCTGGTTGGGGCCAGGCTGAGCAGACTGGGCTCCACGCTGGGCTCCCCTTGGTGAAGACCCACAGAGCACCAGGCGTACCCTGAAAGGAGTGAAGCCCACGTCAGCCTGGAATGGGAGCAGGTTGGATCCACAGAGAACATCAGGCTGGCTGTCCCCTCTGCCCTCCTGCCACGGTGACTCTGTCAGGCTTGGGTCGAGTCACTTTAGTCAGGCTTGAGCTCATCTGAACCCAGTCCATCCAACAAGCTGGTCGCTGCTGGCATCGAGAGCCTGGCTGGGCTGGCTCTGACTCCCGGTCCGCGCGAGCTGGGTCATCTGGTTTGAGGCCTGCAGCTAGAGCCGGTCTCATGCTGCCCCTTGGGCTCTCGAGCTGGCCTTGCTTTCAGCCTCAGTTTCTGGATTCCCCACTTTGAAGTCTCCGAGTTTCTCCTGGGGTGTCCTTGCAGGTTCTCATCCACCAGACTCCCGGGACGCCTTCCCTTTGCTCCAGGGCTGGTGCCCCTCCTCGCAGTCCTGTCTCTTCTACACTGGAAATTCCTCAAAGATTTTTGCTTATTAATAACGCTTCTCTCCTGTCATGGCTAATGTAGTTTGTTTTTTGCTATTTTAATATTTCTTGGATTATTTCAAAGGGATGTGGAAGGGGGGCAGTTAAACGTGGGAGTTCAGGTCTCCGCCATGAAACCGAGCTGGTGGCTGCTGCTTTCACTGTAGTGGAGTTTACATACCGTAAAATTCACCCATTCCAAGTGTTTAATTCTGTAACTTCTGGTGAATTTACAGAGCTGTGGGACTGTCACGATGACCCAGTTTTAGAACTTTTCCGTCACCTCGGAAAAATCCCTTGTGCCCGTTAGCAGACCGGTCGGCTGCCTCCACCCCCAGCCAACCACTGATATGCTCCTGTCTCTATGAATTTGCCTTTTTTGGACATTTCATAAAAATGGCACCCTACAGTACAGTGTTTTGGGTCTTACCTCTTGCACTTAGCATAATGTTTTTGGGGTTTATTCATGTTATGGTTTCTGTCAGTATTTCATTTCTTTATTGCTGGGTCCTCTTCCCCCGTATGGATCTGTCACGTTGCTGACCCCCTCAGCAGAGCGTTCAGATGTTTCCAGCTTTTGGCTCTGATGAATAATTTATGTGCGTGTCTTTGTGTGGACATAGGCTTTCATTTCTTTCAAGGTAGCTACCTAGGAGTAGAATTGCTGGTTATTTGGTAAGTGTATTTTAATTTTTTAAGAAAGTACCAAACTGCTTTCCAAAGGAGCTGGACCTAGCCCCCCCGCCCCCCAGCAGCAGTGTACGTGGTGCTGCCTTTTCCGTGATCACCGTCCTGGCGGGTGTGAGGTGGCAGCTCACCGTGGTTTGGATTTACCTTTACCCGCGGCGTTTCCCTTCGTCCTCCCGAGACCTTCTTTCTCTAAAGGTCTCTTCCTATTTTCGTGCAGCTGCCTTCCAGACCTGCCCCAGCCACCGGCACGGGGTCCCGGGTAACAGCGGGCACTGCTTCTCCGAGGACACGAATGATTAACAAATGAGTGTTTCCAGTCTGTCCCCTTTCCCTCGTGGGCGGGGAGTTTGGACTCGGAGGAAAAACTTAGCCGACCTGTGCTTTTTTCCCCCCTTTGCTTTCTTAGTATGAAAAGGATCGAGCATTCAGAAAGGCTGAGAGACCAGGGCAGTGAACTTCTGTTAGTGGATGTCAGTTGTTGGCGTTTTGACGTGGTTGCCTTATCTCAACCTCAGCGTATTTTGTGGATTGATTTGAAATGAAGTCGCAAGCTCACTTCAGCTCCGAATTCTGTCCCACGTGTCCCCCAGATAGACTCGCTCCTACTTAATCTCCCCACTGTTGCTCTCATGCCCCAGAAAATGAATGGTAATTCAGTATCCTCTTAAATGTCCATATCCAGCCGTCCCCAGTTGGCCCCCAAATGTCATTTATAGCTCAGACTGGTTCCTCTCAGTGTCTGGGGGAAGACAGGAGGGAAGGTGGACGGCTCACAGGCTGTCGCCGAGGAGAATGGGGCTGACGGAAGCCTGCAGAGTGGTTGTGAGGGGATGGCCATCATGGCTTTGGAGCCGTGCACTGCCGGAGCCTGTGGCGCTCTGGCATTCCTTCTCGGGTGTTTGACGCTGTCCTTTTTGGGTGTTCGATGCTGCTCGCCATGGGCCCTTGTGGCTGAGGCTCCGGCAGCATCACAGGCAGGGTGGAGATCTTCTCTGTCTACCTCCAGACCATCTTCCCCAGTGGGCTTCACGCGAGACCTTCCCTCCAGGGTGGATCTTCTCTGGTACCCTGGATTCAGCATATATCCCAGATGAAGCTCTTCATCTTATAGAGATCTGCTGTGCCGCCTCTGTCCCTTTCCTTGAGGATGGACACACCATCCTTCTGGGATCTCAGGCCAGACACCATTCATCCTCAGCTTGTTCTCCTCTGTCCCTCTTCCCCATCATTTTCGGCTCCTGCTGTCTCCCAGTCTGTCTCCTTCTCTCTGACTTCACTGTGACAATGTCACTTAGCACAGAGGACCTTCAGCTCTGGCCATCGTAATTGCAGTTGGCTTCCAGCTGGGCCTTCCACCTTCTCCTTTCCTTCTCCTGTTACATTCTCCCTGCTCTCCTGGTCATTTTTCCTGCTGAAAAGCAGGTGGCAGTTCTGGAATGTTCAGTGCTATGAGGAATGCTCTGCTAGGAGTGTGTACACACTGGCATGAGAGCATCTGGATCTGGTTCGAGATCTGGATCTGGTTCGAGTGGTCCAGGCACGATACTCAGAAGAAACGACGTTTGAGCAGGGCCTTGAATGATGACGGGATCAGGAGATAGCATGAGTGAAGGCACTAAAGCTCTCTGGGGCTCAGGTTCCTCACATTTAATATGGGTAAAGGGGACCTGCCCAAGGCTGTTGTGAGGGTCAGTTGAGTTAATGTATGCCAAGTGCACTGCACGTGGTGAGCACTGCACAAGTATCACCTTGCTCCTGATGAAGCGGTCGAGTGCATGGGGAGATGCATGGGGAGATGCGGTAAAATCCATTTGTCTTCTTTACCTGCTTTCATTTAAAACAAAGGTCAGGGTGCCTGGTGGCTCATACGATTAAGAGTCTGGCTTCGGCTCAGGTCATGATCCTGGAGTCCTGGGATTGAGTCCCTCATCGGAACCCCCTCAGCGAGGAGCCTGCTTCTCCCTTTGCCTCCCCCTGCTTGTATGCGTTCTCTCGCTGTCAAATAAATAAATAAAATCTTTAAAATAAATAAATAAAACAAAGGCTGTAGGGTACCTGGGGGACTCAGTTGGTTAAGCCTCTGCCTTTGGCTCAGGATGATCCCAGGGTCCTGGGACTAAACCCTGCATTGGGCTTCCTGCCCAGTGTGTGGGGGGCCTGTTTCTCCTGCTGCCTGCTGCCCCCTGCTCGTGCTCTCTGTCTTTGCCAAATAAATAAATAAAATCTTCAAGAAAAGGTAAAGGTCTTCTTTATGGTCTTCTGTTCAAGCCTAGCACAATGTTCCCTGCCCCCCCTCCCTGCCCCCAGTAGGATTAAGTTGAGTTTGAAACTGGTTTTCATGAGCACCCTTGCCTTGCAGGACTTCTCCAGACAGGTTATGTCACCGACAGAGGCTGCCCTGAAGCTCCCTGCGGCCCAGAGACTATGTACAAGAGGAATGGTCTGATGGCTAGCGTGTTGGTCACCTCCGCCACTCCACAGGTACAGGGGCTGTGAGAATCGGGACCATGGGTGGGAGTAGGGGGACTCCTACTTAGGTCCCAGCTAAGTGGTGGACAGCAAGGAAGCAAGGCTCCATGAATACCACCATTCTTAGCTCTCCGGAGGTCCTTGGCCACACCAGGCGTGAGATTTGGGAGGCCGTCAGCCCTGAGGATCAGTCCGTTTTCTGCAGTCGTTCTCTTCAAAGAAAAACAAACACCTGCCCAGTCCAGTTGTGGCAAGTGCCACATTCCATTTTGGTGGCAAGATGGGATCAGACCTTTCCCAAGAAAAGCTGCTGCTGATTATAAATAAGTCACACATTCCAGAATGAAGTCAGACAGAAGTGATTCCAACTGGCCCCGTGTTCTTGTTTACCTTGCTCAGTAGGAGATGGCTGTAAGGACTGGTGGTCTGAGAGTGGCCTGGGCTAGGGCCCCTGCCCTGGGCTTTGGGGGGTGTAGGGATTTGTTTTCCAAGTGCCGTGATGGAACAGAGACACGCAAGAGGAGCGGCTGTCATCAGGCCCAGGGATGCCACCTGGCTAAATGTGTACACCTGGCCTCCGTGACCACTGGCGAGGGAACGCGCAGTCCCTCACAGCAGAGCTGGGCTTTTGAAATGATCCTGTGTGACCAGCTAGAAATTCACAGGAACCTATTCATATCTTACAAACCTTTAAAAAATTCCTTATTTTGATCTCTGCTTCTGAAAACAGACTTGTGAGTCCTTTTAAAATTCCCCAGTGGTGCCAATACAGATTTAAATGAAGTTACCGCCTCATCGTCACCACCACCACTAGTGTATTTGGGGCAACACTGGCTTAAATAAGGCCTCTTGTATGAACGTGTGTGTCTGGGTCAGATGCAATGGGGTGTTACAGGAAAGTTATAAAACCTGAAATCCCGGGAATGGACTGTTTGGTAACTGGAGGAAATCAGGCTTCTGTTTTCATTTACAATTTACACTTCATCTGGAGGAAAACGTCTGTCTTTTCTGATCTCTCTGTGCGTATGTGCGTGCACGTACACGTAGACACGTGTGTATTGTGTGTGGGTGCTGATGTGTGTGTATCTGGAACATGGTAAGTACTTACAGCGTTGTGGAATGAAAGAACACGTGTGTAATCGAAGCACTCGGTAAATTTTGGTGACTGAATGACACCACATACACATCCACCCCCATAACTCAGCATGTCCTGTCCGCCAGGCCTGTGTCCTGCGTGTTCACAGGTGTCACCAGCCCCTACAGTAGCCCAATCAGGTCTGTACTGTTGCTTCAGAAACTGAAGGCAAACTGGGGAAACTAAGGCAGGAAGAGGTGAATAAACTGGCTTCCATCACACAGCTGGCCAGCGGTAGGTGGAGATTCACAGTCAGGCCCCTGTGACACTCAAGCCAGTGCTCCTACCCCTGATGACACTACACGGAGGAGAACCACCCTGTCACCTGACTTGGTTACTTTCTGAAAGGTCGGTGTGGCAATGCAGGGACTTCCCGGTGATCGCCTGCTTGGAGCCTGTGCACGGGACCGAGGCGCGGAGCGGACTGCCAGTTTCAGACGCGTTCAAGATTCGTCTTTGTTACTTCTCAGAAGTTTAGCACAGATTCTCCTCAGGGGAGAATGTCCCATCGTTCAGGGAACTTCTGAAATAGCCGCGGCCGAGCCCGCCCAGGCCCCTTGAATCAGCGTCTCCTGGGGAGGGATTCTGCCCTCTGCTTTGTTAGCTTCACTGTATATAACCTGTCCACAGCCCTGCGGGGGGGCGGGGGGGCTGCCTATGGTGCCATTTTCCAGAGAGCTCTAAGACCGTCAGGTGAATAGCTTGTGCGAGGTCGGGCGGCCGCTGGCGTGGAGCTGGCTTCCCACCAGGCATGACTTCAGAGCCTCAACCACCATGGTGTGCTGCCGCTTCAGATCACCTTCGACTTTTGGGTATAGCAGCCTCCTTCGTAAAACCTTTCAGTGACACGGGCCTACTGAGATCTGCAGGTCTGCGTTTCCGCTCCTCCTTTTAACCTCACATTCTTGGTTGTTGACTGTTGGTTTCCCTCACTGGCCTAAAAACACTCTAGTTTCCAGTAAGATTGCAAAGTTTTTCCAGATATAGCCTTTTTGGAAAGAGTGAAATAAAGAAGAATTAATAAAAGCATGTTCTCTAAATCCCAGTCCAAGATATTGAGGTTAATGGAAACCACAAAATCCCTCTTCATGGGTTGAAACGAATAAAACCGTTTATGAACAGGGCACAAGTTTTGGGTGGTAAGTTTGAATGGTTCCCCGAAGTAGAGTTTGATGAAATTAAATAAAATCGAGGAGAAGGTATGTTCAACATTCTGGGATCCCCACAGGGTTGGGCTTCATAAAACTGGCCACATTTGGGGAGTTTTAATGTGCTCTTTTATGGGAGACCCCTTCTGTCCATGCAGGGCTCACGGGGTTCACCTTAATAAGGGACCCTACTAAATATAACTTTCACGCCCGTCTCCAAAGCCAGTTGGTTACCTCTCACCTCATCAGCAATCTGGTTTTTGAATTCCAAATGGCCCATATATGAAATAAGCCTTGAGAGCCAGTTTAACATTTTGTATAAGAGTTTTCTGCAGTGACTTCCAGAAAACAATAACAACAACAACAACAACAAAAACAAAGGTGAAACTAGGTACCGTTTGAGAGACAGAACCAGACTGATGATTGCCTCAGGCCTCCTGAGCTGTGAAGTCCCGTTCTCTCTAAAGGAAGCGTGGGCTCTGTCTTTTTACCCCACCAGCTCCACAGCAGGCTGGAAGCAGCTGGGGGCCATGATCGAGGGGAGGCGAAGCTAGGTTCACCTCCTGGCTCTCCGGTTTCCTGGCTGTGATACCTTGGGGACGTGGCATGGCCTCTGCTTCCTTATCTGTAAAGTGGGAGTAAAAATAGCGTGTACTCCGTTCCTTCAAGAATTAAACAGGACTGTGCATATGAAGTGCCCAGCACGGTGCCTGGAATGGGGTACAGCAGTGGGCAGCAGGAGCTTTTCTTCCGTGTGTGCGTCCTCGGTCTGGGCGTGCTTGGTAGCGAGTCTGCAGTGAGCCCGACTGCTCAGGCAGCCCCGTCTCTCCCTGTCCCGCAGGGCAGCAGCAGCTCAGACTCTTTGGAGGGCCAGAGCTGCGACTATGCCAGCAAGAGCTACGATGCCGTTGTCTTCGATGTCTTGAAAGTGAGTCCCGAGGAGTTTGCTGTAAGTAACAGAACTGATGTGAGTGTCTGGGCACCAAAACGGTGCGACAGGGGCTAGGAAAAACTGGTTGGAAACGACCCATATGCCCAACCGTAGGGTCTGTGGGATGTAATGTTCTTTATGAAATACTAGGCAGCATTAGAAAGGATGCCATCAATCTCGAATTAACCACCTTGGAAGTCACGTGCGGTGTATATGAATAGTCAGTGAAAGGGGCAAGTTACAGCACCATTAACAGAGAACAGTGCCGTTTTTAAAAAGCACATGCAATGCACACATATTTATATCTGCAGAGGAAGAGGTCTGCATTCGATGTTTATGTATTCATAGCTATCTGGATATAAACAGCCAAACTTTATTTACTGTAACTTCTGGTTGTTGTAGGATTCTAGTTAGTTGGAATTTAATTTTACTTCTGTTTGTTTCTTTTTGTTTGCCTTCTGCATTTTTTTTAAAGATTTTATCTATTTATTTGACACACACAGCAAGATCACAAGTAGGCAGAGAGGCAGGCAGAGAGAGAGGAGGAAGCCGGCTTCCTGCTGAGCAGAGAGCCTGATGCGGGACTCGATCCCAGGACCCTGGGATCATGACCTGAGCCGAAGGCAGAGGCTTTAACCCACTGAGCCACCCAGGCACCTTGCTTTCTGCATTTTTACGATGACTTTTCTATGATAAAAAATAGTATTTTGTAATAATACATTTTTTTAAAAACTGGTTTTTCTTCAGCCAGTGTGTTTCTCCCGGTCTGACTGAGGGCTCTTCCTTGTGGTGGAGACCCCAAGTTGGCTTCTCGTTTTGCAGTGACTTGGTTTCTTCCTTTTGTGCTGTGAAGGTAGAGGAGTATTGCCTGTGGGGTGACCTGGAGCCTGACTGCAAGCACTGTCCTGGGGCTGTAATTCTCTGCAGCGCCACTGTCCTGTTTACTGCCATGCCTGCTTCCTCCCTGTCCCCTTTGCTGTAACAGGTTTCGTGCCCTCCAGGATACTGGGGGAGCTAACGGGGCCGCGTCTCAGCCTTCTGCTGTTGCCGGCCCCCACGTTTATTTTGTGCCGTGCTGAGCCTGGCATCACCTCTCTCAGCGTAGCCAAGGGATCATCTAAAAACCCATGTAAAGCTCTAGCAGCTGCCTCCTGTGAGAATGAGACCCTGTGTTCCTCCCAAGGCCTCCAGGGCCCCCTGTGGTCTGGCCGAGTCTCCTCTCCTGCCCCCATCTCTGTGCTTTGTGCTCCCCAGCTACACCTCTAACCCAGACTCCCCCAGCGTCCCCCTGCCACAGGGCCCTGCGCTTCTCTTCCTTCACTCCTACTGGCTCTTCTCCACGTGTCTCTGTCTCTGTCCTTGGCCTAAAGTGGCATCTCTCCATCACTCCTTTCCCTTATCCTGCTCTAGTTTCTTCATTTTTCTTATTCCTACCCAACATTACATTATATAATAATTTTTTTGTGTGATATATCTTCTCTGGAATAGAAACTCTTTAAGGACAGGAACTTTATCTGACTGGATCATTGCTTTTTTCCAGTGCCCCGAATGGTGCCTAGCTCATAGTTGGTACTCAGTGAATACATGTAGACTGAAAGAACTCGGTCTTCAGAATGACCAGATGAAGCAGATTATTAGCTCCTGATTTTCTAATAAAGAAGTGAAGAATCTAAGAGATTATTATTATTATTTTATTTTATTTTATTTTTTGCCTGGAACATATAGCCAGGTATGGGCAGAGCCAGGTCTAAAACCTTCACCTCCTGATTATTCACCTAATGCTGGATGGTAATATTAAGGATAGCTCCCATTTTTGAACACCTGCCATGTCTAGTTTTTTTTTTTTTTTTTTTTTTAAAGAGAGTTGTTTTTTTTTTTTTAAGACTTTATTTGTCAGAGAGAGAGAGAGCACGTGCAAGCAGGGGGAGCAGCCGGCAGAGGGAGAAGCAGGCTCCCTGTTAAGCAGGAGCCCAATGTGGGACTCAATCCCAGGACCCTGAGATCACAACCTGAGCTGAAGGCAGACACTTAAGTGACTGAGCCACTCAGGCAACCCCCATGTCTAGGTCTTATGCTTAAGTGCTTTACATGCATTATGTAATCTACTTCTCACATTAGCCTGATAAATTAGGTGTATTTATTATTCCCAATACACTGATGAGCAGGTCAGTGCTTAAAGAGGAAAATCACTTCTTCATACAGAGAGTAAGTGGCACTGTCTATCTGGGATTTAAAACCAGGGCTGGCACTCTAGACCAGTACCATCCGACAGGAATACAATCTGAATCACATGTGCAATTTTATTTAATTAATTAATTAATTATTAAAAATTTTAAAATTCCAGTATGGTTAACATATAGTGTTATATTAGTTTCAAGTGTATAATATGGTGATTCAACAGTTCCATATATTACTTACTAAGGTCATCGTGATAAGTATGCTCTTTAATCCCTTTCACCTGTTCCTCCCATGCCCCCAGCTACCTCACCTCTGGTAACCATCAGTTTGTTCTCTATAGTTAAGAGTCTGTTTTATTTTTTATTTTTTAAAAGATTTTATTTATCTGAGAGAGAGAGAGTGAGCGAGAGAGAGAGCATTGGGGGGGGGAGGGTCAGAGGGAGAAGCAGGCTCCCCACTGAGCAAGGAGCCTGATGTGGGACTTGATCCTGGGACTCCAGGATCATGACCTGAGCAGAAGGCAGTTGCCCAGACAACTGAGCCACCCAGGTGCCCAAGAGTCTGTTTTTTGCTTTGTCTCTTTTTTTCCTTTGTTCATTTGTTTTGCTTTTTAAATTCCACATATGAGTGAAATCATATGGTATTTGTCTTCCTCTGACTGACTTATTTCGCTTAGCATTATACCCTCTAGATCCATCGATGTTGTTGCAAATGGCGAGAATTTATTCTTTTTTTATGGCTGTATAGTATTCCTTGTATATTTGTACCACATGTTCTTTATCCATTCATCTGTTAATGAACACTGGGCTTTTTCTTTAATTTGGCTATTGTAAATAATGCTGCTATAGACATAGGGGTGCACATATTTTTTCCAATTACTATTTTCGTATTCTTTGGGTAAATGTCCACTGGTGTGATTACTGGATTGTAGGGTAGTTCTGTTTTTAATTTTTTGAGGACCCTCCATTGTCTTCCACAGTGGCTGCATGGAGTTTGCATTCCATCCAAAAGAGCAAGAGAGTTCATTTTACTCCATATCCTCACCAACACTTGTCGTTCCTTGTGTTTTTGATTTTAGCCATTCTGACAGGTGTGAGCTGATATCTCCTTATGGTTTGGATTTGTGTTTCCCTGATGATGAGTGATGTTGAGCATCTTTTCATGTATCTGTTGGCCATCTGGATTTTTTTTTTTTGGGAGAAATGTCTGCTCCTGTCTTCTGCCTATTTTTAAATTGGATTATTTGGGGTTTTGGTGTTGAGTTATCTCAGTTTTTTCTGTATTTTGAATATAACCCTTTATGGGATATGTCATTTGCAAATATCTTCCCCATTCAGTAGTCTTTTAGTTTTGATTTTTTTTTTTTTTTTTTTTTTTTGCTCTTAGAAGCCTTTTATTTTATTGTAGTCCCAATAGTTTATTTTTGTTTTTGTTTTCCCCTTGCCTCACAAGACTTACTTAGGAAAATGTTGCTGTGGCTGATGTTGGAGAGCTACAGCTAGATCGCCATCCTTCTACTTCCCAGTAGTCTGAAAGCAAAGTAAAAAACAATGCTGGAACTTTATCAGTAGATCGTGGACAGCTTTCTAGGTCAACATGTGTAGATTTAATTTTCTATTTTTAAATATTTTTTTTTATTTTTTAAAGATTTATTTATTTTCTATTTTTAAAGATTTATTTATTTGATGCTACCCATGCACAAGCAGGGGAGGGGTAGAGGAAGAGGGAGAGAAAATCCCAAACAAACTCCCCACTGAGCATGGAGCCCAGCTCACGGCTTGGTCTCATGACCCTGACATCCTGACCTGAGCTGAAATCGAGAGTCAGACGCTCTGGGATGCCTGGGTGGTTCAGTCCGTTAAGCATCTGCCTTCAGCTCAGGTCATGATCCCAGGGTGCTAGGATCGAGCCCCATGTTAGGCTCCTGCTTCTCCCTCTCCCTGCTGCTCCCCCTGCTTGTACACTGTCTCTCTCTGTCAGATAAATAAATAAAATCTTAAAAAAAAAAAAAAAGAGAGTCAGACAGTTAACCAACTGAGCCCCTCGGGAGCCCCTTTAATTCACTATTTTTAATAGCTGCATAATACTCCAGAATCTGGATATATTTTCATATACATTCCATATATATTTTTTTCAACAAGCCCCTTCTCATGGTCTCTTATATTGTTTCCAGATTTTTACTACTGCAGATAATGGTGCAGTGAACATCTAATTTTCTGTCTGCATCTAAATGTAGATCTATATATATAAAGTCTCCTTGTGTTTCAGTGCTCTGCTTTCTGTAGATGTAGGGATTATTGTGTCAATAGTATGCTCATTTCACTTTTTAGGAGATAATATCTAAATGCAATGCTTGATTTTGGATCAAGAAAAAATTGTTATAAAAAAGTTTTGGGATATTTAGCAAATTTTGAATGCGGACTGTACTATTAGATGCTACTATTGTTGCAATGTAAGTTTCCTGAACGTAATAATTTTATCATTATGTAAGAGCATGTTCTTGTTCTTGGGAAATAATATGCTGAAAGGTTTAGGAGTGAAGAGTCATGATATCTGCATTTTCTTCTTGAGTGGTTCCGAAAAAAATGTGTATGTATAATTACATACATGGAGATAAAGCCAGTGAGGCAAGATGTTAATTAGTGAAGCTAGGTGGAAGGTTATAGAATCCATCATTCTATTCCTGCAACTTTTTGTAAGTTTGGCTTTTCAAAAAAAAACTTTTTGAACGGTTTACTGCCAGATTGCTTTCCAAAAAGAACAGAGCAGTCCCTAGTCCTGTCGCTCCTGATGGCACCGATGGACGACAAATGGCATCTTCCTGTTTAATTTGCATTTCCTTGACTACAATTCTAAATTTGCCAGACACATGGTTCCTGTGTCTCTAGGAGTAGAAGTAGGAATGTATATCTCTGGAGCTGATTGCCTTTTGTTACGTGAGCCCTCCTGGTCAGGTGTTGGTGGAGTGATCTAAATGCAAATTTAAAGATATTTTCTGTTATAAAATATGTCACTAATTTGCCAACAGCTTCCTTTGTTTGTTTATTTGGGGATTGAGAGCCTTTATATAAGGTTGTGGCTGGGAAGAGGGAATTTAGTCACCAGTGTTAGAGAAACGCTACTCTCAACATATGCAGGAAACATTTTTTTTGTTTCCTTTTTGGCTGCGTAGCTTTCATTTACCTACACAGAACCACCTCTTTCTTTAGGGCCACGTTGTGAGGTGCTTCAGTAGGTCTCTCCCTTCAGCAGAAGTGTTTTATAATATGTGGAGATTAGCCATTTCCCTAAAAAGCCTGAAGTTTTAGGGGGCCCCGGACAAGAAAGAAGGAGGTGGGGGAAGAAGTTAGGATTAAGGACGGCATCTCCAGCATGACTAGCTTCACTGGGCATCCTGTAGTAAGGCTTTATTTCCCCGTGGAAGGAGAAGCCATTGAGAGACGTGCTCATGAGTACGCTCGTCAGCCCAAGCACGGGTGCCTCGCTGTGGCAGGTTTCGTTGTTCATTCATTCCTTCACTCACTTGTTTTTATTTAAATTCCAGTCAGTTACCATACAGTGCACTGTTAGTGTCAGGTGTAGAATGTAGAGATTTAACACTTCCATACAACTCATTGTGACAAGTGCTGCTGGTAGACAAGATGGCCCCATTTCTGGGGGGGCTGCACCACACCCGTCAGATATGGCCTTTCTCTCCAGGAAGCCAGGGCCTCTCCCCTGCAGTCATGGTCATCTCCTGAGGCCGAGAGCTGCTGTGAAGGGAGATGGGACCTAATTTCCCTCAAGCTCCCACTCCTACCCACATCCTCCCTTTCTGGTCAAACTGCCTGCTTTGGAGTGCCTGCACTTCCTGGGAAGGACTGCTAGTCAGCAACCTTTCCACGTGTGTTTGGCTTTGTAGTAAAATGTCATGAAATTTATAATCCGGTGATTTTACCTACGTATTGACATATTCTTGTTCTGGACTCTGCATCTTTTTGGTCAGAATTGAAAGGATAGAAGTGGGAGAGTCTTCTGAAAACCCTCAGATTGTGTGTTTGGGACCAGCTGGTCTATTTTAAGTTTGGAGACCTCTCTTGTTGTTTATTTTATTTTATTTTAATTTTTTTTTAAAGATTTTATTTCTTTATTTGACAGAGATCACAAGTAGGCAGAGAGGCAGGCAGAGGGGGAGGGGGAAGCAGGCTCCCCGCTGAGCAGAGAGCTCGATGCGGGGCTCGATCCCAGGACCCTGAGATCATGGCCTGAGCTGAAGGCAGAGGCTTAACCCACTAAGCCACCCAGCCGCCCCATTTATTTTGAATAAAACACCTGAATGCGTATTCTGACTTAGGGGCTGAACAGGGACTTAGGATACTCGAAACTTGGACCGTCCCCCAAAAATGTGAAATGTAAAGCCACTATCTTAATAAACCATTTGGAAATTCAGTAGCAAACCCTAGAAGTGACGGCAGGATGGAGAGGAAGTTTTCTCATTTTCACATTAGCAGACTTTTGGTTCTTGTCCTAAATGACATTGCAAACATCCTGCTAGTTCTCCGGGATCGGGAGTAAACTTGAACCATGGCAGAGATTTCCAAGGCCTTCTGAGCTTTCAGCGCGAATCTCCTGTTTTCACAAGCCCTTTCTGTTCCCAGGGTGGCAGAATTAATCCAAATGTGAGGGGACTTGGCTAGCAATCTCCATGGGTCTGGCAGGAGAAATGCCAGTGTGTTTGCACTGCCTGGGACATAGCTCTGGGCCAGACATCAGACCTGCAGGCCTCCTGGCCTTAGTTGTCCCTCGACGCCCAGATTACGAGCACCAGATCCACCTTGTGATGATGTCCACTGCCCCCTTTGCCACTGGGGGCTAGACCCAGAGGTAGAAGGGCTCAGTTCCCAAGTGCTTCTTTATTCCTCGTGCTTCTGCTGTCTCTCTGCTGAGTTTCTGTTATGGCAGCGCTGGCCCCTTGGAGGGGATGAAGAGACTGTCCTCAGAAGCACTGCTTATTTCCCTCTCCTGCTCAGCCCTGACGATCGTATGCTTTGGCCTGCATCCTGTGCTGCTCGGGAATCCAGTGGTCTTGGACCACCTTTAAATTACGCCAAGAGGTGACCACAGTTCTGCACCTGAGCCCTGGATTGTGGTTACACTTGATGTACTGTGTGTGTTGCCATTTTCCTAACGTAGCCTTGAGATGAGGCTTTTTTCATGACTATTTGTTGACTTAAGTAACAGCCTCCTTTAGGAGCAACTTTGATGCTTGAATATTCAAACAAATGAACAGTTCCCTTATTTCTTTGTTCATGTATTGGTAAGGAACCGCAAGTTCACATGCCAGTACGTGAGCGCATCTGTGTGACTTCACATGTCAATGATGTAGAAGTAGGAATACAGACACATACGTGCACACAGTTGAACCCTGAGCACAGGTTTGGACTGTGTGGGTCCACTTATATACATATTTTTTTTTGATAAATACAGTACTGTAAATGCATTTTCCCTTCCTTATGATTTTCTTAATAATATTTGCCTTTCTCTAGCTTACGTTTTTGTAAGAGTACAGTTTGTAATTCATCTAACATACAAAATGTGTCACTCAACTGTTGATGTTAGCAGTAAGGCTTCTGGTTAACAGTAGGCTGTTAGTAGTTAAGTTTTTGGGGAGTCAAAAGTTATATTCAGGCTTTATTTTATTTTTTTAAAGATTTATTTATGTTACAGAGCCAGAGTACGTGAGTGGGGGAAGGGTCAGAGGGAGAGGAGTAGAGAGAGAGAAGCAGACTCTGTGCTGAGCACAGAGCCTGACATAGGGCTTGATCTCACAACCCTGAGATCATGACCTGATCCGAAATCAAGAATCAGTTGCTTAACTGACTGAGCCACTCAGGCATCCTGATAAGCAGATTTTAGACCATGGAGGGTTGGCATCCCTAATCCCCATGTTGTTCAAGGGTCCACGGTATATAGATAATCTTTGTGAAAAGTCAAGATAGGAGGCGCAGAATGCCTGGCACCTGACAGGTAATCTGTCTTTCTGTCTCTGTCTCTGCATATATGTACGTGCACAGATGTGCACGCTCTTTATGCGTGTATATATGTGTGTATACACACACACATGCATATCTAGAGAGCACCTGTCAGATGCCAGGCATTCTGCACTTCTGCTCTTGAATTTTCCCAGGGATCCTATAAGAGGGATTACTGTCACCATTTCCTAGATGTGGCATCTGAGACTAGGAGAGGTTAAACCGCGTGTCAAAGAACATACTACTAGTGTTAAGTGGTGATATCCAGACACGCACTCAAGCCCTGGTGATTTCAGAGCCCCTCTTTGTTCCACTGCGTCACAGCAACCCCTTTGACCTGTGGGCCATGAGCAGGGTATCTGCTTGAGTTAGGAGGCATCCAAATGCCCTTGGTTCTCCTTTCCCTGGCCTCTCACAGACATGTCTGTTAACTGGCACCTGGCATCCCAGGTGACATATGGAGATGGGCAGATCATGAGCAGTCAGCTCAGTGCACACCTTGCCCAGAAAAGATTGTCAGCAATGGTGCTTTCTCTTACTGTTGCATGATGAGCAGCTAACGATGGGAACAGCCTTTAACTAGATGTGTATTTTCTATATTTACAACATTAGTGCTTCGCAAGCTAGCTGTGGTAAAGGGCCAGTTTTTTTCATTTCCCATCTGTTGAGGACTGATATTTAAAAAACAAAAAAACAAAAAAACACACACACAACAAAAACGTTATGGCAATTTGTTATAAAAGTTCCCAAATGCTTGTTCTCAAATTCTGTAGTTATCTCATTGTGGGCTGGCTGGCAGAATAAATAGTTTGCAGTCCAGCACTGGTCCAGGGGTGCATCTCGAGTAGCACTCTGCTGTATAATTTAGAGGAGGCTTAGACTTCAGAAGAAATGTACAATTTCTATAAGCCACAGTTTCTTTAAAATTTAAATTTAGAGTAATAGATAGTGTCTCTGTTTAGCATTCTAGTTTTTAATATTGTGTCTACAACTTTTTTAAATTACAAAAGTAATTCATGCTTGAAACAGAAACTCAAATAGGACAAAAATATCCAAACTAAAAATGTTCCCCTTAATCTCAGTCCCACCCTCCAAATGACTATCATCAATTCTCAAATTGGGAGTTTGTCTCACATTAAAGAAAGAGGGGTATGGGGTGAGGATTTATGAGGGGGGAGGGATGGGAGAGGCATTTTAGAAATTTTTTATTCTATTCTTTCTTGATTTTTATTTCAAGGGAGAATGTGTTATTACTCTGTGTGGATTCAAATTTATCTTTGATTTCCAGCATATTCTAACGCTGCTTCTCTTTTGTTGCAGAGCCAGATCACGTTAATGGACATCCCTGTGTTTAAAGCCATCCAGCCGGAGGTCTGTACTTAGTCCTTCAAATTGTTCTAAACACTGTGGCTGGGAAGGGGAAATTTAGTCAGCCAAGTTTGAATGACTCTTCGTTTCTCTCTTGAAGTCTCTATAAACATATCGTTGATTTAAGCCTGTATTAAAGAGTGCATCTGTTAAAGAGTGCATCCAGGAGCTTCTCATTCTTGAAGGTGCTCATTCTTTGAGCCCGGTGTTTGGGTTCTGCAGAGAATGTCGGTGGGTCTGGTCCATTCTGGCAGGGCTGGAGGCAGGTGGTGCCCAAGGCGTCCAAGCCTGAGCCAGGCTTTCCCGCACGGATTCCGTTTCCCAGGCTCCTCCCGTCGAGAATGGTCGCTGTCGAGAACGGGATGTGAGGGAATGTTTTTCTGGAGAGCTTTCTTTTTGTTGATCCCAAATTCTGGTGGTCGCCTTGTTTCTGATTTTGAAACCATTTGCCACAGCAAAACATACACATATTTACACTAAGAGCATATGTACATTTTTAGAAACAGCATATTCAGTAGAGAGAAAAAAGTTGATTTTGGTCTTTAAAAATATCCTGGAAATGTTTAGTAGTTGATAACAAGGCTTTAGAGTTGTTTTAGTTAGGGTTCTTTTGTTGTTGTTGTTGGCAAGTAATAGAAATCCATTTCAAAGTAACTGAATAGGCAGAAGAGGAGTTTATTATGGGGATAAAGGGACACTTTATGGAATCCATGAGCATGGAGTTCAGGCAGCTGGAGAGCCAACCGAGACGTAAGCTGTCTCTGCCTCTTGTCTCTGCTTTGTCCTCTCTTTGCTCTCCTGCCTTCTTTCTGGTCTGTTCACGTGGTCCAACCTGGTGCTCCTAAGGGCTTGCATTTACATGGTCCTCCTTTAGGCCACCTTCCAGACTTGAGACCAGCAGCTCTCAGTCCAGCCCGGCAGAGCCACGTGACTCATGCTGGCTCACGACCCAGGCCAGGAGTATGTGGTCAAGACGAGCAAACACAGCTGAGGGGACCTGGTCTGGTGAATGGGGTGCATGTGTTAGAGAAGAGGGCTGTACGTGGGGTGATAAGTCAGAAAGTGTCTGCTGCAACCATGGTGTGAATTCCAGAACTCTCGTGACATGCAGCCCTTCCTCTCATAGTATGGTAGCTGTTAAGGCTTTGAGAAAAGCAGCATATTTTAATACAAAGCCAGACAAAGGATCCAGGCCTTCTGAGAGCTGGCATCTAACCTACTGCAAATTAAGAGGAAGCTAGTGCTTCTAGCTGTGCTCAGCACTTATGTGAAGACGTGGCGGTGATTTGTAGGACTGTGCACGCGCGCACGTGTGCTGTGCTCATCGGGTTTGGGGAGCAGAGCTATGTTTGCTGCTTTGAATTGGCTGACTTCTAATCTTTTACTGTTATCTTCTAACATGAGATTACCCAGTCTTTCTAATTAAAAAAAATAAAACAACTCTACCTCTTGGAGACGTTTAGGGGTGTAATTGTGTGAGGGTTGCTTTAGTTTTCCGCTTGAAGTTATTTGTGATCATGTTCTATGCTGAGCTTTGCTCTGGAGCTCTTTAGACATGTGGATCTTTTTTTTTTTTTTTTTTTAAAGATTTTATTTATTTATTTGACAGACAGAGATCACAAGGAGGCAGAGAGGCAGGCAGAGAGAGAGGGGAAGCAGGCTCCCTGCCGAGCAGAGAGCCTGACGTGGGGCTCGATCCCAGGACTCCAGGATCATGACCTGAGCCAAAGGCAGAGGCTTTAACCCACTGAGCCACCCAGGTGCCCCTAGACATGTGGATCTTTATTCTTTGTCCTGAGCATCTGAGAGAGGAGCCCTGCTCGCCATGAGCCCTGAATCCTGAACCTGCGTGTGCCCAGGGACGCTGGCCTGGCTGCTCAGGCTCATCATAGGATGGAAAATGGTGGGGACTAGGGGCAGACCAAGGCTTTTCCCCAGGACACTGAGGTTTGGAAGGTGTCTCAACCAAGACATATCTTGATTCAAATTGTGATAAGACATTAAGGCGGAAATGTTTTGCTTTCATGATTTTTGCTTGGATCTGTGGTTGTCAATTGTGGCTGCATATCAGAATCACCTGGCGGCCTCTGAAACACGGGGTGCCCAGGTTCCACCCTCAAGCGTTGAATCTGGGTCTCTGGGTCAGGGCCTGGAGCCCAGACAACCCCATTTTGTAGAAAGTTACCAGGTGATTCTGATAGAGAATGAGGATTAAAAACTGGTTGCTTTGAGGTATCTGGAGAAACCCCAAACTTGAATGTCTTGGATCTATATTAGCTAAAAATAGAAGAGTTTGCTCCTCATTGTCACTGTCAAAACTGTGGTTAAAAGGAGGATCCTGGGAGCTGCCCCAGCTTTTTTTTTTGCTGTTGTTATTGTTGGTAGCAGACTGAGAATTGGAGTTTTTCTTTTTTCTTTTTTTTTTTTTTTAAGATTTTATTTATTTATTTGACAGAGACCACAAGTAGGCAGAGAGGCAGACAGAGAGAGAGGAGGAAGCAGGCTCCCTGCTGAGCAGAGAACCCAATGTGGGGCTTGATCCCAGGACCCCGAGATCGTGACCTGAGCCAAAGGCAGAGGCTTAACCACTGAGCCACCCAGGCGCCCTGGAGTTTTTCTTCTTGATGATGCCTGCCATGTTGTGGCTGGGCCACCCCAGAGTTGGAGGGATATGAATAAAGGACAGTTACAAGTTCAACAAGACTACCTGCATCTGTGCCCCATAGGGTTAGAGAGGCACTGGGCATTTCTGTTTCAGTGAGTTGTAGCCACTATTCTTTTTGATATGTAAATTGTCCTGTCTTTAGCCAGTGGGAGCCCTGTCATGTCACCACCTGTATCCCCTTAGCGCTGTCCCTTGGTTTGGATGGCTTCCTTGCTCTTTGGTGCCACGAGCTGTATCAACATTACGTCATACGACTCCTGCTGAAGACCTGGAATCGGGTGTGCCTTCAGGGTGCTGGTTTCTTTTGCTGGAGATGAATATTCAGAAACCACAGTCTGGGTGGAAGGATGCTCAGGAGAGGAGGTTGCAGTTGCTTTTAGGCCCTTTTGGTGGCCAGGGTGAAGAAATGCCTGTTTTTTCAAAGGAGAAGTCCTGGCGCACCTGGGTGGCTCAGTTGGTTGAGTGTCTGATGTAGTTTCTGCTCAGGTCATGATCTTGGGGTCAGGGGATTGAGCCCCATGTCAGGCTGTGTGCTGAGCATGGAGCCTGCTTGGGATTCTCTCTCTCCCTCTCCCTCTGCCTGCTTGTGCTCTTTCTCTCTCTCTCTCAAAAAGTAATAAAAAATAAAAGGAAAAATCAGGAGTTCATAATGAGGGTAGGTGGTGTTCTTTCTCCACATTCTTCCTTCCCTCTTCATCCTTGTCATGACTTCCCTGTGGGTGGTGTCTGTTTCTCATCCTATTGACTTTGGGCTTGGCCCTGTGCCTTGGGCATAAGTGACCGCATGGCACGTGGTGAGTGAGAGGCATGACCGGCCCTCCTGGAACTCTCCGTCATATGTGGGTTGCTGTTGCTTGTTTAGCCTGAGTCCGCAAATGCGGATGTCATAGATGACCTGAACCGAACCCAGAGCCTGAATTCCAGCCTAACCTGGCCCCGCCCGGGGAGCCCAGCAGAGATTGACTGAACTGCAGCCCTTCTACCGACCCCCAAGTGTGAAATAAATATTGCTGTTGTAAGCCTCTGAGATTTGAGGGTTGTTTGTCATATCACATTATCTTGTTGGCATGTGACTGACACAATGTTGATCTTTCCAACTCAAATCTAACATTACAGTGTTGGGAGCTTAACTCCTTTGATTTTTGTATGATTTCTTTTACAATGACAGTTCTGGTTTCTAACAACAGTAAATAATTGCATTTTTGTACTATCTCATCATTTATGTGTGTGTGTGTGTATGTGTGTGTGTATAGACACATACACACACACAGTAGTTTAAAAATGATAATACTGGTATAATATTAACCAGCAGACTACGGATTGCAGTTTAGCATTTCTTTGCAGTACCTTTTCTTCTCATCTTCCTCCCCCGTACCACTTCCACACCCACGTGGGCCCCCCCTTCTTGACTTCCCTAAAAGGCTTTTGGAAGCACCAGGACAGAAAAGGAGGGCTATGCTCCCTCGGCTCTGGAGTCTGCCTCCCAAGAGACCCTGTTCGATCCCAGTGCCTGGAACGCAGTGGATACTCAATATTTGTTGAATGAGTGGAGAAGGAATGAATGGGAGACGTGCAGGAGCAGAATGCTATCTGGCTGTGTTTAGGCTCATTGCCAAGGGTGGGGGGTGGGCCAACTGAGGGAACATTATTACCAGGGTGCCTGTTTTGTGGTGGAACCGCTTCCCCCAAAACAGGGGTTTTGCCTGGTGAGCTCAGCCTTTGAAGATTCCAGTTTCCAAATGCTGTTGATAACTGAGGGTAGAACTGTGGCTTCTGCTTATTTCTGCGAGGGAGACCGCAAGAGCATCGTCGCAGGGCTTAGAGGAAGCTTGGCAGACAGTGAGTTAAGGACTGGCAGAGAATAAGGAAAATGGAAGTTAGCAAGTAGAGAACCATAACTGCCCCGTTCCCTGGTGACTCTGACAAGTGACCAGTTTTATCAAGCACTGGCAAGTTAATGCAGATACAGCCTCACAGCATAATGGCTCACAGCTGGGTTTAGCTTCTATGCGGTGGCCCAGAACCATCACCACTGTGGTGGATTCCTGGCTGCCGGGACTCGGGCTGAAGGAGGCCTTCCTGAGGGGTGGTGGCAACCTTGTGTGGTACATTTGTGGGGTGGCATTTTGTTCCCACCAGTATTCCCTCCCACATCTGTTATTATGCCCAAACTCTCAGCCCATGGAACTAAAGGCCCAGCTGTTTCTCAGAGGCAGTGGAACTCTCAGAACTGGTTTTGTCATTGGTTTCGATGTCAACAGGGAGCAGTACCAAGGGGGACCTACCGTTCTTAGAAGGTGCTGAAAATGAGCACAGTCTGCGCGTCCCTCCACCTAGG